ATATGTAATAATAAGTATATATTTTAATATTATATATATTATATTATATTTAAATTGTTATATAAAAAACTTTATTATAATATATATATTTACGGTTAAAAAAGTTTTAAAATATTTAAAAAAAACTTTAAATTATAAATTTATATATTAAAGTAATTTAAAAGATTTTATAAAATAAATAAATGTTAATTATATAAAATATATATAATTTAAAAAATTAATTTTAAAATATATTTTTAATATAAATAATAATATCATTAATTGGTTATTAAAAAAATAACCGGTAATTGTTATTTTTATTTGTAAATTTAAATTTAAAAGTATAATAAATGTTATAAAAAAAATAATTTAATTATGTTAATTATTAATTAAATTAACCGTTAAAAAAAATAAAGTTATTATTATAATTATATATAATAATAATTAAAAAGTATTAATATTTGTTAAAAATTTACAATTTTATACATAAATTAAATATATTAAAACTAATATTTATTTTATTTGTAAAAAACAAATTAATAGTAAAATAAATTTTATATATATTTTTATAACTTAATAAATTGTTAATAATTTTATTAAACTTTTATTAAAAAACGTATTTATTAAATTTAAAAAAATAATAAACTTTTATTTATAAAATAAATAAAAAATAATAAAAAATAAATATTTTATAATTAATAAAATAATTTATATTAATATAAAATACGTAATTATAAAGTATATAAATATAAGGTATAATTAAAAATATTAATTATAATTAAATTTAAACCAAAATATATTTTTAAAATATATTATTAAAAACTTTAAAATTAATATATTTTAAAAATTATATATAATAATAATAAAACATATTTAAAAACCATATATTTAAGTTTTTTATTATTTTAATTATAAAATAAAACTATTTTATAAAAAACTTTTTTAATAATTAAAATAAATTTATTAAAATGGTAATTAAAATTATATATTTTTAAAATATTAATATATAAAAATTAACCGTTATAATTTTAAAAAGTTTAAATTTATTTTATTAAAAAAAAATTAGTTTTAAAAAAACGCAAAAAACTTTATATTATTAATTTAATTAATAATAAATATAAAAGTAAATAATAAATTTATAATAAATTTATTTTAAAACGTTTAATATTAAAATTTTAAAATATTTATAATAATTATTAAATAACGTATATTAAAATTATATTTTTTATATATATTAATAAATTATATTTTTTTATAATAATTTAAATTAAATAAATTAAGTAAATTATATGTTTAACTTTTTATTATAAAATTTATTTTATAACTTTATAAAATTAATATTTAAAATTAAAAAAAAAACTTAAATAAAATTATTTAATATATTTAATAAATAATTAATAAATAATAAATAAAAAAATAAATATTAATATATATTTATAATAGTTATTATTAATAATGTTATAAAGTTAAAAAACGGATATTAATATAAAATTATAACTTTATAAAAATAACATTAATTAAAATTTATTAAAAACAAATATTATAAAAAAAATAACGTTTATTTATAAAATATTTGTAAAAATAAAAACATATAAATAAAGTTAAAATATGGTATAATACCGATATATTAAATAATAAAAAAAATTATTATTTTTTATTATTATTAAAAAAGATTAAAAAATAAGTATAATTTAAAAATTTACTTTATAAAAACTTTTATAAAATTATATAAGTTTAATTATTATAAAAAATTTTTAAAAATAAATTACGGGTATAATTTAAATGGAAATATTAAAATATATAAAGTTAATAAATTAAATAACTAATAATATATTTTATATTTATAATTTATATATAATAAATATGTTTATTTAATTTTTTTAATAAATAATATAATAATATAACATATATATATTTTATAATTTACGTTTAATTTTAATAAATTAAATAAAACCCGTTTTAATTAATCGAAATTTTAAATGGTTTTATTTATTGTACCTTTTTAACAACATTTAAATTTAATGGTAATATAATTAATTTTTTTAAAAAAAACAAATAAATAAATATAAATATTTAAAATATTATTATATAAATAATTACATGTTAATTAAATAAAGTTTTTAATGATTAAACTTGGTTTAATAATTTTTAATATAGCCCAGTTAATTATATAACTTTACCATAATATTTATGTATTTACATATTTTTATGTAAATAATTAAAGGTAAACGTTAAAGCGTATTTTATAAAATAATAACATTTTAAATAAATAAATTTTTTATAAACTTTATAAAAGTATAAATGCATTTATAAATAAAAATTTTAATAAATGTTTATTTAAATAAAAAATGTGTTTATTCGAATAAAAAGTATATTCCGGGTTAATTATTTATATTTGATTTTTACTTGTTTCTTATTAAATCGTAGCGTTTTACGGGTCAAAGAACATAGTCTAGTATTGTTCATACAACAGAGTGAATAATATACCGAGGCGAACACAGTCCGAAATAAACCTTTAAACATTACGTAGCTGCCATGTCTTACATAGTATGATGTACATATGCAAGTTCTCTTCTCCGCAAATCGGCAAAATGTGGGGGATCAAACACCCCTAGGCGCGGATTGTGATTGGTGAATTCCCCTCATCTTCAATTTTTGCCTTTGCTATCCGTACAACCTGCGTAAAACCGCAACCACCATATAACGTGTATGCGGTATATGCGTCCGGGAATCTCCAACAAACATCGGCACTGCGGCATCATTTTAGTGCTTTAAAGTTCAAACCCGCCCCGTTACCCAAAACTTCCTTCAGCACCGGGATCCATCCAAGGTTGGCCGAATCGCTTCGTCCTTGACTTTTTTTTTTTCGTCCTCGGCTCCTAACCCTTAGCTTTTACCAGTAGCCACGCCGTCATTCTCGACGCTCGTGCCCGTGTCCTTTTATTCACCTATAAATCGTATGCGCCGAGTCTCTTATTCACCATGAGCGCAACCTATTCATCCGCGGCCCGTTGCATTCGGCCGTCTGTTTTCTACAGATTGGCCAGGCCGCTTGTTAGATCGTCGCCTATCACAGTTAGACAGGCGGTGCCAGTGGCGCTTTTCCACCAAACCAGGTTCAACTTGGCTGTGCAGAAGATCCAGGTCAAGAATCCCGTCGTGGAACTTGACGGTGATGAGATGACAAGGGTTATCTGGAAGGTTATCAAGGACAAATTCATCTTCCCCTATCTCGACGTCGACTTGAAGTACTACGACTTAGGATTGGAGTACCGCGATGAGACCAACGACCAAGTTACCCTTGACGCTGCCGAAGCTATTAAGAAGTACTCGGTTGGTGTCAAATGCGCCACCATCACCCCTGACGAGGCCCGTGTGAAGGAATTCAACCTTAAGCAGAGTAAGCTTGTAGTTTTACATGTGCTTTCACATGCATTCGTCACTTTGCACGTCAACCCGCATACCAGCCCGCAATATTCAGCCCCACACTATAATACCTATTAGATCTTATAGATCAAGCCCCTGCCGTAATATGACTGACGTTCCTCTTAATAGTGTGGCTCTCCCCTAACGGCACAATCCGCAACGCCCTCGGCGGTACCGTCTTCCGCGAACCCATCGTCATCCCCCGTATCCCGAGATTGGTGCAAGGATGGAAAAAGCCTATCATCATCGGTCGTCATGCCTTCGGTGACCAGTACCGAGCCAAGGACAAAGTCATCCCGGGCCCCGGTAAACTCACCATGGTATATACCCCCGAGGGTGGCAAGCCCGAGGAGATTGAGGTCTTCCAGTTCAAGGAGGGCGGCGGCGTTGCGCAGACACAGTACAACACCACCGAGAGCATCATGGGTTTCGCGCATTCCAGCTTCAAGCTAGCCCTTGACAAGGGGCTACCCCTGTATATGAGCACCAAAAACACCATCCTCAAGAAGTATGACGGCAAGTTCAAGGACATCTTCCAGGAGCTGTACGACACTCAATACAAGAAGGAATTCGAGGCCAAGGGAATCTGGTATGAACATCGTCTGATTGATGACATGGTTGCCCAAATGATCAAGAGCACCGGCGGTTACATCATGGCGCTAAAGAGTAAGTGCCACCTCTTAACCTCATTGCCCAAGAAAAGCATAGAATAACACTTTACCAGACTATGACGGTGACGTCCAATCCGACATTGTGGCCCAGGGCTTCGGTTCCCTAGGTCTCATGACCTCAGTCCTAATTACGCCCGATGGTAAGACATTCGAGTCCGAAGCCGCGCACGGCACAGTGACGCGACACTACCGCGAGCACCAAAAGGGCCGTGAGACTTCGACAAACCCGATCGCTAGCATTTTCGCGTGGACCCGAGGTCTTTCGCAGCGCGGAAAGCTAGACAACACCCCGGAGCTAATCGCATTCGCCGAGAGCCTCGAGAAAGCGTGTGTCGACACCGTTGACGTCGACGGCATCATGACCAAGGACCTGGCGCTCGCATGCGGCAAGACAAACCGCGAAGCCTACGTCACCACCAACGAGTACATAGACGCGGTCGAGAAGCGCTTGAAGAGTACTCTCAAGGAGAAGCCATAAATGAGGCGCACGAGGAATGAGTAGAAGGCCGACAGATATAGATCAAGACAAGATCTGGATTCTGGGGAGGACATAAGCGGGGAAGCACGGACGGACACGGCCCCACATATCTTCTCAGGGGGGAAACTTGTGAAGATCTACTGCGATTCCGCATATGTAGCCCTTTATGCTCCCGGGTATTAATTGTTCGAAATGCGCAGATAGATACCTAGATCAAGATACCATGCGAGCATTTTGTGGTACGAAGGAGAAAGAACATTGAAGCATTGGACAGATACCTAGGTTAAATTGATAAGTTCTAAATTGTGCCCTAACCTCATGTTTGCTTGGTGTCCACTTTTATATGTGGTCTACTATCGACCTTTAGCTCAACTTCTGTCTCAATCTCTATGCTATAGGACAATAGACTTAGCTAAAGTTTTCAAATATATCTCGCAATACAGGTAACCAATCTTAAATGTGCTAAACCGTATTAATCATTAAATCCCTAACCGCTATCAACCTTTCATAACCATCTATCTATCTTGGGTACTTATACAAGGCTGCCACGCCAACATCTACTCCATAAACGCTACGACAAAAGACGTATTCGTACCAACCAAGTAATCCGAGGGGTATCATCCGTCGCTCCCTCGCTTCGTTTCGCTGTTCCCGTTTTTTATCATGTGCCAACGCCCGAGTAATTGTACATTATAATGAACCCGCTTTTACTCCCCCTTGTAATCCGTTGCATACCGTATGTACCCAATACATATCCGCCCATAACATACAACACCACATAAACCTATACCGTACCGGTCACGGCGATCATGACTTCTCAGGGGGCATCGTACTAGGTGCGTTCTCAGCCGTGACACCGCTGTACGCGGGCCGCGCTGCGGGCCCGGCAAGTGAATCCGCCATCGCCTCGTCGTAGCTGGGCGGTGCGTCTTCGAACATAGCTGCACCAGTAGTGCCTAGCTGCGGAGGATACAGGGGGTTGGGGATGACATTCAGACGCTGCGGTGGCTGCGGTGGCTGCTGCTGAGGCGTTGGTCTTTGGGGTAGTTGTGGTGGGGGTGAAAAACTGTTGGCGGCGGGAGCATTCAAGAGCTCTCGCGGTGGGGGAATTCCCGAGAACACATCGACTTTGGAGAGTTTCAGGGGAAGAGTGATAGATTGCGGTACCTGCTTGTGGCTTGAAAAGGGGTTGGAGGGAGGGAGGGGTTGGCCCCAGCTTAGCGTTAATTTGATTTCGATCTCGTAGCGCCGCGCGAGGTTGCATGTCCGGAAGGATGGTGCGATGGTGTTGGGGAGACGTCGGTCTTTCCAGAGGGTGGGGGGAACTTCGAATTCGGTGCCGACGAAGTCGGCGGGGTTGTTGAAAAGTGCGATTGGAGGGGAGACTTGCGGAGCGGAGAGGATGACCCATGATGTACGTTCTGTATTTTCGAGTTGGTGCGCTCGGACAAGTGTGTACCCAACCAGAACTATCTCGAGCGCCGTTAAGTACACCTGCTGGCCCGGAGTCGTCGTCGGCACCAGTTTCCGAGCGATCAGCCGGAGGGGTAAGGGTTCGTTACATGTTAAGATGCTGGGAAATGGTAGCCGCGCTGACATTTCGATCGAGGGCGGCATTTGGTTGGGGTCTTCTAGCGGGCTCGCTGTTGATGATCTGCCACCAAGGAGGGATCTCCTCTGGTGGGTTGGGGCGCGTGGTCTAAAAGTAAAGGGCCTGCGGGCGAAGGCCTCCCGGTCAGTTTTCGGCGGCCGGGGTAGCTCGACGGGCAAGAACTTGAAGCCGATTTGATATCGCCAGTTCTCCCTGAAGAATCCTGGGCGTTGTATAGTAACCTTAATATAGTATCGGATTTCGGCCTCCTGAGGGAAGCCCGTGAGCGAAGGTGGCAGAGTAGCCTTAACGTGCTGCAACATGAGCTGTTTTGTGCCGTCCATAGTACGAAACCCATTCCCTAGACCACCTAAGCCCAACAGGGCGCCCATGGCCTTTTCGTTGTGACAGATATTGTTGAGGGGGAGCTTAAAGTTGAACTTGAATTCATGCTGGCCGGGCTGGAGAGGTAGCGCAGCGCCGTCGTCTGAGTAGGCCTGAAAGACGCGGTATAGAATCTTGTGGCTCTCGGTAACGATATTGCCAACGCTACCAGCACCAGGAGCACGGGGTCGGTGGTAGTCTTCGTGGTCGCCCGTCGCTGGTAGAGCTAGGGCGGTACGCGACTCACCCTCAAGCTTGACGATGACATTGCCAATGGTTTCGGGCCGGTATAAGCCCAAGATGACTCGGCCGCTAATGTAGTCGAGGTTCGTATAGAACTCGGGCGGGTTGTCGAGCGCTATTCGTATCGACATTGTGAAATACTTATATGAACTGCGTAAGAAAACAAAGATTTGAAGGTTGTAATGATGTTGAATATGTTTCGTTTGGCGGAGGTCTCGGCGCCCGAAGGGATATTGAATCGATCAATGGCGGGTTGAAGCGGGTCGTCCGAAGAACATTATGAGGCAATGGAGCCATTGCCAGTAACTAGCGTAACTAGCAGCTAGGTACCTAACTAATCCCAAGTTATTCTACCGCATATCGACAACAGTAAGAGCATCTTTGCTAAAAAAGCAAATTGGAAGTAGGTAGTTGTAAGCCGATGCTGAGCCTCTATGCGTCGTCACGATGTCATATGTCATTGTGGCTTAGGTCGTCGTCTTATCGCTAATCTCCTAAAGCTTATCAGCACGACACCCGGCACGGACGGAAGCAGGGGAAGCTACCCCGTTTTTAGGAAAATACCCGATTTGAGGCCTCCGGGTGGAGGAGTGCAATAATCCGAGTTATATTAGTCATCTACGAAATGGACACAATCAATCAGAACGTTCCATCTTAACCAAACTCAACTTTTTATTAATGTTTAACTCTTGCTTTGTTAATTATTATCTTGATTATGTACCTACCTATTATCCAATAAACAATCTCAATTTTTCCCTCTAAGGGAATCTCTCAAGTAGCCCTAGTGTCCGTAATACAGCTGTCCGAATCATGATTTGGGTCTCGGGTTGTTGGTTGTATTTACACTTGCCATAAGTGCGGCCCGCGCGACGGCGTCAGTCTCTAAAAGCGAGACTGAATTTGTACCTGGTCTAACCCCAATCGCAGTCACCCAGTGTACGCCCTCCGTAGGGACACCGACAACGAACCGCCTTGGATGTGGGACGCCATTATTGTTGATTAGATGGCACGGATTGGGCGTTACGTCTACACCTCCAGTCTCGTAATCGCCAATGGTGTGAGGGCGGCATTGTCCCCTGTCCAACAAGTCTCTAAGAAGCTCATCGGCAGTTTGCTTTAAGCTCGGTTCCGGTACACGCGCCTCTATGAGGCCGGTTACACGCACTCTCGAGCCCGGGATCTCGGGGGATTTCGCGAGCCATACCCCGTTTCTAGAGTGCACCTCCAACTCGGGGCCGATAACAGTTACTATGTTCGCTTTAATTAGCGCAATCAACTGCTCAATGCGTATTCTCGGCGGACCGATAGAAAGGTGGGCATTAAGCGACGAAAATATAGAGTCGAATTGATCCCGGCGCGAGGTACCTGAAATTCCTCCGTGGTTCACGACTAGGCGCAGCTCGTTGCGCAAATCACGCAGTACATCAATGGCCGCCTTCTGAGGGCTCTCGATGTTCCCAAGCGCAGCCTGCCGGACATCCTCGTCTAAATAATGCAGCAGCCAGTTTTGCCAGGTTTCGGCCGATGTGAAGGCATACTCATTATCGTACGGTCGTGACATGAACTCCCAGGACCAGCGATCCGCCTTGGGGATGTTGAACTTGTCAAGAACCCGGATTTCTTCAGCGCCGCCTGGTTGGGTACTGAGGAACTCGGCTCGGAAGTTAAGGCGCTCTGGATTGTTCGCTCCCAACATAGTCTCATAGTACACCGTTTCTACCTCCTTCGCAACAAGAGGCCATACTTCTTCCTGGAAATCCGGTGGGTTACCGGACTCGGCCTGCTCACGGAGCATAGCGATTATCTCGTCGGTGAGTACAAGTGGAGTATGGCGCTCGAAGGGCGGTTTTTGGTTGTCGCCGCGGGCAACGTATGGGATGCCGCGGCGTGAGCCAGCATATATTCGCGGCTCTCTTCCTGAGGGAATATATCGATAGCCAGAGGTTGTACGTTCGAAGCGGCCGCCGCGGCCCTCAGTAAGCAGGGATACGTAATCAAAGAAAGAGAGACCAAGACCGCGCAGGAGGACCGGTTGATTAGGATTGATGGGAGAGAGGTCAACATCTGCCGGCTTCGCCGGTGGTATGTAACACAGACCGTTCTGTTCAGCATATGTAGTGAGCTGTTGCTGACGTGGGCTTGGGATCAGTGGCAGGTGTCCCTGGGCAAGGACTACAGCAGAAAGGCCGGATAGTGAATCACCAGTGGAAAGGGTAAGGACCTGGCGCCCATCTGATTCGTCATCGAGGCTGACCGCGCGGGCAGTGTGCACCACAATATTTACCTTGTCTTTGTCGTGAACTTGTATTTGATCAAAGGCCCATCTTAAGTAGTGGCCATACAGAGCACGGGTTGCGCAGTCGTTAGGACCTAACCGTGGTTCCCCAGTTGCATGCATCTGCCAGGTATATAAGTCCTGCCCTGGGCGTATCGGTCCAGAACAGGTCACACTCTGGTCGGTGTACAGGGTCATCTGCGATGTGATGGTATTCATTATTAGCTGCGCCGGCTGGTCCGTACGCCAGACGCTGCCAGCTCCCGGCGGGAACGGATCGATCATATGAATTGTAAGATGAACGTCCGGGAGGAGGATATCCGGTACAGACGCGCACATACGCTCTAGAACGCTGGTGCCGCGCGGCCCAGCACCCACAATCGCCATATGAACATCAAGACCATCGTTCATAGATAATGAATTAAACTTATTAATGACGTTTTCGCTGGCAGATTTGAGTCGACTCGCAACCGTCTCGAACGTTGCGACGGTCGCTCGAAATCTTATTTGTGCCTCCTTGTCTTCGGGTCTTCCGTTATAGATTGGCAATATGCGTCGGGAATCAAGTGGAGGCTCGCCAGCTTCCTCTAAAGCCGTGGCAGTCATCGGTTCTATAGTGCCCCTAAGCTCATCAAGGCCTCTCTGGACTCGCTCCATCACATTGTTGTCGATTGTCGTCGGGAAGCCGTTATCAATAAGGAAAAGGGCTGCATCAAAGTTACGCATGACCAACGCGCCTTCCAGGATGCTACGTCCTTGGACCGCGATATGATCCATGCGGTCATAAACATCCTCAGCAATAGGGTAAACAGATAAGGCATGCCCGTTGTTAGGAGGAGTGCCGTTGCCGAGGATATTCCCGTTGTAGGGCAATCTCATAAGGCGGTCAAGGAGGTTGACATTGTTACGCTCAATTGCAATAAGCAAAGCTTGTCGACAGGCCCCTGCGGAGTGTGTATCAATAAGCTCGTTATAAAGTTCATGAGCACCGTCTCGGATCGCCGCGTAGAGTAACCGGGCTAGATCATCTCTACGGCCTCTTATCATATGAATTAGCTGAGTGATGAATTCCACCTCATACTCGGTTACCCTCGCATCAACAAGAGCACGGAATACCTCGTTGTTTTCGTCGGGGTTGATTTGTGCGATTGCTCTTAAGATAACTAGCATGCTGTTCCCGTTGCTTTGGGCAATTTCAGGTGCATCGTTAGGTGCAATTCTGGCACCGCTCGCGACCAAGCGACGCAACAGGTTATCTCGACGGTCCATATTTTCCAGGTGAATAGATTCATCTATGTTACCTTGCAAAACATTTTCCACCTCATAATCTTCCTCGGAAATATTACCGCTTTGAGCAACTCTCTCAAGGAGCAGGTTGAGTGCCTGCCGTCGGTTAGGGTCGTTGTCTTGAGTTTCGCGTATCATTGCATCAGCTAGATCCCCAATGATTCCGTAAAGACCCCTTTCGACCAACTGATTGATTTCTGGGGGAATGTCATATGTGGTCATCTGGTCGAACCGATGTAGCCCTCGTTGAAACAGCACAATTGAAACTGTTTCTTCGGCTCGATTCATCTGGTCACGGAGTCTTGTATCTCCACGCTCAGGGGCTCTTCTAGGGTTTATTGCAGCAGCTCGTCTTCTGTCATACACATGAAGAGCATGGGCATAAAGATCTGGGCAGGGAAAGAATCTCCTAGATGTCCTACGGAGTCCGGCCGGTGGCTGGCATTCTCTATGAGACTCTAAGAATATTGTGCAGCGATTTATTCGTTGCCTATCAGTTGGCCCCGGGCTCGGGAAGAGGAACGGCCAGCGTATGTTTGGATCAGCGCCCCTTTCAAAAAGTACGCGGAGTAGATCTGGCCTCAGGGCATAAGTGGCGGCGACGAGCGGCGGACGGAAACCTCTAAACATATAAATATCGTTGATAACATCCCCCGCAACAGCGGCATACCCGTCGAGGATACGGCTGATCACGTCTGCATCGCAGTAAGTACGATAAATCGCCGTCTGAAGGAGTGGGATGTTCTCTGGCGGCTCGCCTCCGTGCCACCTGCGGGGTGGTTCATAGGCACGGAAATCTCGCATCTGGCGCGCCGCATCGAGGGTGAATATATTTATGAAGCTGGGCGACTGGAAGACACGGGGAATGGCAAGGGCTAGTCTGATGCGCGAGGAAGGATGCATGAGTTCAACTATCCCCAGAAGAATCTCCATAGGGAGCCCCGAGATCTCGGGCCGGTTTAAGTTTGGGAAAATATGCGGGACCAGACTGTGTATGGTTTTGTTCGAGGAGGAAGACGATGACGGTGAAGGTGGCAATGGCGGCACGGGTGACTTGGGCGATGGCGATGACGAAGAGGGGTCCGAGGGAGGACCCGGAGGACCTGGAGGATCAAGTGGAAATGGGCGAGGAGTTGGCGGGGGAGTGTAATCACGTACAGGAGAATGTATAGGCTCATCTTCGCTGCCATTCCCTCTACCAGAAAACGATCCACTTCTCCTATCATTTCTTCCTCTGCTCTCATCCTGATCGATTTGTTCAAGTCCTTTTCGACGGCGCAGCGCTCGCTCCGCATGTCGCTGCATACGCTTTTCCCAAACTGTTATACGCTGTTCCTCTCCCTTCGAAGGGTATGGTCTGCCACGAGGAAAGAGAGGATGTCCATATCTTCCCCCCAGCTCCCACTGTCGCTTTCTATCGGCCTTCTTAGCGAGATGTCGTTGTCTCAGCGTCTCCACTAGGAATTCACGCTGTTGCTCTCGGGTTTCAAGACCTGACTTACTGGGTTCTGGCTCCTGTGGCGCCAGTTGCAGCGCTTCTAGCCTTGCTTCTACTGTTCTTGGTGGCTTTGCTCGAGGTGGAGGTGGAGGCGACACCGGCGGCCGTACGCGAGTATTTTGCTTTGGCTGTACAAAATCCACTCTTTTTTCCTGCCGCTTGGAATCCGTTCGGACGGGCCCTGTCTTGGCAGGCAGCTTATACGGTTCAAGTGGTGGAAGTTTTGATATATATACGTAGCCTGGCGGGAGTGGTCCGATACCCATCTCTCTTGCTACTCTGTTTACCAACTCCAGGTCTTTTCCTTCTTGTCTCTTTTCGGAATCTGTCATCAAGGCCAGCGCGTCAAGACCGGTCTCCCCTTGCTTTATAAGGAAATCCATCGTGGCTTTGATTTTTCTCATCTTACGCCCTTCCATTAGGTCGCGCCTTGCTTGGCGACGAGCCTCACGTGTTCCGGGACTGACGGGAGGCTCAACCGGCCAAAGGTGTCTCGGAATCGGCCCCTCGCCCACTTCTTTACGAGGAGGCATTTTTCTTGAAAAGAATGGTGAAATGTGCAAGTAAGTTTCTGGTTATTTCTTCCAGTATTTGTCTTACCAGATTACTTGATAGTTATCCTGTTATCAGTTGTATGTGATAATGTGAGATGACTGTGTTTCTTGGATATTTTTAAAAGCAAAGCTACGATCTATCCATCCATATATACCAATAAAGTTGACTGAACACACCTGCTGTTTACCATCGTTTGTCTACAATATAGCTGATTTTATCAATCCAGCTACATAGGTAATCACCTGTTATAGCTACAATTGATTGTTTTAGAACTCCAGTAGAACAATCTCTTTATCACTGTCAGGGTATAAGTGGGTTAGGGGTAGATTCAGGGGTAGATCTACTAGGATTGAGTATATAAGAGGCGCGCAGCGCCCTCGTAAGAGGGTAGAAGGTAGGTTTTAATGGCTTAATTTTATCTATTCTGACATTCACTCTATATATGACGTTCATCAAGGGTTACATCTGACAATCATTTCATCCTAGGAACTTTGTCATGGAGCCAAATACTTAGATCCTCTTTCACCAACATAAACATGCATCAGGCCATTGTTCAGCAGTCATTTTTGAGCCGCAATTCCATGTTCGAAACTTCTGTCTTGTCGGCAGGCCACTATTACCAACTCGGTTGGGAGCCAACGCTTTTAATAGCTGTAGTTTAATCAAACTATGGCTCTAATATTCTCTAACGAAATTATTTGATAACCTCCATCCAGAGGCTAGCGAGTAGTTGACATAATTTACTACGTAACTCTATGCCTTTGAACAAGATGAACAAGAGTAGCAAAAACCTTTATAGGTTTAGAAATTTCTACGAGAGGCCACGCCACGTACGGCATAAACCTGAGGATTGCCTCAATGCTTATACTTTTTTCCTATTCTAAAATGTGTATCTAGGAAAGTTGATTATAATCACTTGATTATACTTAAACTACCTAAGATAACCTTCCACTCTAGGTATGTTACCAACTATTTCCAATGCCTTATATCCGTAGTTACTTCAATAGCACGTCCAAAAAAATTACCTTTCTATATCCATTATCCATACACATCTTTATGGTATAATACTGCCAAACTAGTATGCATCAAGGTAGGTAAGTGTCTGTGTATACCATACCGTAACGTTGAGAGTGACTATTCGTACTACCTTATATGCTATATACCTGTTAAGCGACCAGTATCCTACTCTAAACAGGGATTCTTAAAAGTACGTGAGATAAAAATGATTTATAGCATTTATACAGGTGCTAACTACCTATTTATTAGAGTAACTATCGGCCACTTGAGACGCAAAACGATAGAAAGGTATCATTCACCGAAATTCTCCGATTAGCAAGCCAATGAGTTAAAACAACCCTTCTCCCATATCCTAGTCACTTTACTCGTCTTTTCATCTCATAGTAACGTAAACTTGAGAGTTGCCCTTGCAAGTTACCACAGTCCATCGTAGCGGTCCGACGCCATCCGAAAAAGACTTGAGGCGTGGCACCTCACACATTCGAATAAAAAGGGGTATGAAAAGACATGGGTCTGGAGTTTTGTGATTGTGGGGTTTTAACTCAACCAAATTGTCTGATGTTACATTGTAAATTGAATGAGCTCAGAATGCTATAAGGTGTATGTATACCTTATCCCATCTAACCATGTGCTCAATAGGTAGGACGACATGATTCCCCAACTACGTCTCCCATTCTAGAACATACCAATTTAATTGGCTCTAAATGATACCTACATATAGATGTCATAAGCCAAGCAACCCCTGCAATCGACGGTCCCTTACAGCTGCTGCATAGCATAGCCCTGCCACGGCTGATCTTATTCTCGAATAGGCACCGGGTATTGGCACCACCACCAGCTATTTTGGGTAACTGTCATACTGTAGTAGTTCTCACAGGCTGAATGATAACCATTTTTTTCGCCGTCATGTAGAAGATTCTGTAACGGTTAAATTAAATGATCAGCAGTCTATATCCTTACCCGTAATACAATTGCGTCCGCAATCTGTCCACGGAGCCATCGTAGTCACGTTGTGTGCAGAAGGGGGGGGAAGTATAAGTGGTGAAGCTTGGCCTCGACGTTGGACTCTTGACTGATTGTTTCATCGAGCGGCCGAACCAAACGAAACGATCTGATTAGAACTTGATACCTACTCGAGAAAGCGGCTTACGTTAACAAGTAGCAAAGATGATGTTTAAGAACTACGCCTTATTCTTCCTCTCTATCGCTTTCCCTTTAGCGACGACATCAGCGCTACCAAAACCTGGCTCTACAGTAACGAGGAAGCCGTGCTGGGCTGGCCAGATTCATTACCCTTGCGACGGGTCCACGACAGGCTGTACTCCTGACGGGATTATGGTAGGCCCTAGCACTATAGCGATGGATATAAAAGACGTGTATATGCTAACTGTTGTCTGATTTAGGTTAAATGTCAAGACTCGAGCGGTGCAATGATCTATGCCAATATGTGCGACCTAGGATCCCAAGGGAAGGGTACCTGTACCTACGACGCCGACTGCAATGCGGCCTGCAGTGCTTAGGGTACTGGAAACTTGGGCAAGTCACGCACCGAGCAAGATGGTGACTACATGAATGTTTTGAATAGCCAAGCAGGGTCATCTATAATTTGAGGTATGGGAGGACTTGGGGGGCGGGTAGTTGTGAACCAGTGATTTCTATTTGAGGATTCACTTACACCAATACGCTATTGTAGTAGGGGCGCATGGAGTCGAAACGAGCGATATTCAAAAGTTTGCTTGAAGATGTTGTACTGGTACCTAGTCTCTTCATAATATTTCATTGTATACGAAACATTAACGTTGCATCATGGTGATATGGCTACTCGTTTGGCATGTTATAAGATGACATAGATATACTACAGCTATAAAGTATAAATGAGTATAGTCAAGTAATTAAGAATAATATATCACATAGGTATTATATTTATATCTATATTTATATTTAAATAAGGTTGTGTCGGTCCGTCCCGTGAAACGGCCAAGACGCGGACAATATTTGTACTTGGCTTCATAATCGACATTGTTCATCTTTTATAAACTACCTACATGTAGGTATATCTTAGTAATTCGCTTGGCGCCTACCATAATAGCTATTTAATAAATATATCTAGCTCGATTAGGTTAAGGGATTGCTGCAATGCAAGAAACATCCGGTAACGCAATTGACTCATTCTATTCGCTCACCCCGGATGAGCAATTTGCATATATTCACATACTTTTACCGAGTCAAATTTCAACCACATGCTAAACACATAACCTTTTCCCCGCACACCTACAACCATGGCAAGTCGTGCCCCAAACCCACTCGGGGAGATCGTCAATGATACCTCAGCTCAACGTCCGTCCCGAGACACCAGATTAGTCGGCCGATATGTGACGCTAGTCGGGCTGTCCGCGGCCCATGCCGATCCGCTATACCCACATATATCGGGTCCCGAAAACGCACATCTCTGGGACTACATGTTTGAAGGGCCGTACGACGACATCGCCGAGTACCGCTCTAGTCTAAAGGCTAAGGAGGCCAGCCAGGATCCGATCTTCTATGCCATTCTATCAAATGACAAGGCTGCCGAGGCAGGAAATGACGAGGAGAGCGGTAGGGTCGTTGGTATAGCCAGTTATTTACGTATCGATCCGGGACACCGCTCTATCGAAGTCGGTCACCTTATGTACTCGTCGCAGCTACAGCGCACACCTGCTGCTACCGAGGCTATGGTAGGTAGCATCTAGTCTATTCCTCTACAGGCTAAATCCACGAGAACTGATTAAGTAAGTGATCACTAACTCTTCACAACCCAGTACCTGATGCTACGCCACGCATTCGAGGACCTAGGATACCGAAGGTACGAATGGAAGTGCAATTCGCTCAACGCGCCAAGTAGCAGAGCGGCTCTGCGCCTCGGATTCACATACGAAGGACTCTTCAGGAAGCACTTGATCGCCAAGGGCCGCAATAGAGATACTGCGTGGTATTCTATTATTGATGACGAGTGGCCCGGTGTTAAGAAAGCGCTCGAGGCTTGGCTGGATCCTGCTAACTTTGACAGCGAGGGTAGACAGCGGAAGAAATTAGAGGAGTTTAGACAATGAGGTATTGGGGTTATTCAAGGTCATTTTTAGGTCCCGTGGCATAGAATTAGCACTTGCTGATATTAATAAGCCTGAGTTGTTGGAAGATCAGTCAATAATAGGGGATACGTTAGGCGCTATATTATATTTAAAATAGATAAGTCCTTACGTAAAACAGGGAAACCAATATGTCCCTTAAAGTAAGTAGTGATAGGTACCTGGTACTAGGTTTAAAGGGGTGAAGCCAATAATTGCTTTCAGCTGGCAGACAACTGCCACCTAACATTCCTTAAATATCACAACCTAACGGTAAGTACCCATACTTTGCACATACAACCATCATCACGCAACATTTCTCTACTCTCCAAATGAACACCAAACTCGGGAATCCTAACCCCAAATTTGGCTTGTTAATGGCCGCTATCCCCTAGATATCTAGATAGGCAGTGCAGCACCTAAGGCCCCTAACAATGTTGCGCACCCAGCTTAGAAGAATTGCACTATTACCTACACCTAATCGTCTATCCGGGGCCGGTCCATCAAAGCGCACCCTTAGAACCGGGTCCTACATTCCGGGAGGGGGGCTCCCGGCCGTTCCGATCCTTAGGCCGACACTATGGGCCTTTGCGGCCACAGCCACCATCTTTCTCGGATGCGCTGCGTACGACGTCCGTCGAGACGTCCAGAACGCCAAGAGGAGAGGGCTTTTCAAAGACGGAAGCGTCGCTTCGTATGAAGCCCTAGAGGACGCCAAGCGTCGCGGCCATACCGTGTACTCCTCGTTCCGCAAGCCTCAGCCGTCGAAATGGCATCTGCCGGGCCAGATCGGCGAGATGCTCGCGGGGCACAGCGACGCGGAGAAATTAATCATGGGATTCTCGGCTCTCAACATCGGTCTTGTCGGAGCGAGCTCTCTTGCTCCGGGGGCGTTTATGCAGTACTTTGCGCACACGCCTTGTTTTAGCCCTAACTACACGCTCCTGACGTCTATGTTCGGCCACGCCGGTCTACTCCACGCCGGGATTAATACCCTCGCCTTGCTCCAGATGGGGCCCGAGGTTGCGCGGTCCCACGTCTTCGAGGGAAACGGCAGTCACTTCGCGGCTTTCTATCTCTCGGCCGGGATATTCTCGTCGCTAGGGTCCCAATTCGCGACTATCTTGCCTACCCGAACTTACAAGTTCAACCGTCTCAGTCCGGGTCTGGGAGCTAGCGGCGTGGTTTTGGCTAGTAAGTAACTTCTCGTGTCATTTCTCTACTTCATCACTACATCTTAGAGCATGGGGGTCACTGTCTATCCAAGATATATTTATTGACTCTTGTTGCAGTGCTAGGAGCATGGGCCACACTGCACCCGAATGCGCGGCTCGGCATTATGTTCATTCCTGGGAGCTATACCGTTGAGAACTTCATGACGGCTCTTGTACTATTTGAGTTGTACGGGTTGTTCATCGGATTTCCGTACTTACATTTCGGACACGGCGCGCATCTCACGGGTCTTGCTTTGGGATTTGCGTATGTATACTTTGACGGTAAGAAGCACTTATGGCGACCTGCCCGGAAGCTCGCGTTTGGTGGCATGAAGCTTGTGAAGATGGTGTAGCGGGGTTTGGGATGTATGACGAGGTTAACATACAATGTGCATACTAAGGGATCAGCAGGTAAGGAATAGCAATGCTTAGCAACTTAAGGCTTTATATCATGTTGACGCTTCCAGCCATAGTTAACTTATCCCTTATTCAGCTTATTCGGGAGCTTGATGCCTCTTCTAGGATTGAGCATCAGTAATGTTGACGGTCATATTGGCCTCTATACGAGAAGAGTATATGAAGAGGTAAAGAGTGAGCTTTCAAATTATTTATTTAGCTAGTATGATGCTAGATATTCTCCGATTTATTACATTATGTGAATATCACAACCTTTAGACAACACTTATCAATATTTAATTCTAGAGGTTGATTGATTTAGTATGCGGATTTAATACCTAGTTGTATTTTATTTCCTACCTCCACAGCTGTCAGCAGCCGCCAAAAGCTCATTTACGTACCCGGATACACAATGTGGGGTACTTCGGAGCGGAATATGCCATGTCCGATCAGCTTCGGCCAGTCGGATTGAAGCATTTCCTGATTAGCGAAGCGGCAAAAACGTAATTTATAGTTAACGTCAATTGACGGAAGGTCCGCAATCTTTAGATGCAGTCGATGGATTGACGCCAGAGCCGACTTTCTACCATCTCTTCCTCTCTAAGAACCCTCTCTAAGAACCCTCTCTAAGAACCCTCTCCACTCAACCTACAACTTCCTACCCATATCAGATAAGCATCATACGGTATCAATCCGTGATAGAAATGATGCTGTCTTCGTCGCGAAGAGCAGCCACCTTGGCTCTAAGAGGTCCGTCCCTCTTTCGAAAGATATATCCACTCGCAGTATATTAACATTCATATTCAGCGAAGCCGACACCTCGTATCGTACCCTTACAGTCCCTCGCCTCCATCTCGACCACCTCTAAGAACGATGCTACGTCCGTGACCCCCCACGGCTCTACGGGCCTCGCCCACCGTCCGCGCAGAGAAATCCCTCTCGCCAGCGAAGAACCCAAGAAAGGCGTAATCCAATATACCCTGTACGTCATATTTTCGCCTTCCTTTCCTATCGGAATCGATTGAGAGGCGAAAGGGAAACTATGGGTACTACGGGAACTAAAACTAACTTGCCACCTCAGGACCACACTCGACCAGATCGCCAACTGGGCGCGGCAATCGTCCTTCTGGCCGATGACGTTCGGACTTGCGTGCTGCGCTGTGGAAATGATGCACGTGTCGGCACCGCGATACGACCAGGACAGGCTAGGAATTATCTTCCGAGCGTCACCACGACAGTCGGATATTATGATCGTAGCAGGTACACTGACCAACAAGATGGCGCCGGCGCTACGACAAGTGTACGATCAGATGCCGGAGCCGCGCTGGGTCGTCAGCATGGGTAGCTGCGCCAACGGCGGCGGCTACTACCACTACAGCTACAGCGTCGTGCGCGGCTGCGACCGCGTCGTTCCCGTCGACGTCTACGTCCCCGGCTGCCCACCCACCAGCGAGGCCCTCATGTACGGTATCTTCCAGCTCCAGCGCAAGATGCGGAACACCAAGATTACGAGGATGTGGTACAGGAAGTAAACTAGAGGGTTAGAGATGGAGAGACGGTAATGAATGGGAACGGCGAGATCATCCGGCTCCGGCTCCGGCTCCGGCTTCTTCGGCCGAGACCCGACGGCGCGGCGCTAGATCACCTTTCTCTTTTGTCGAGGAGTGACGTACTGTACATAAGATACCGCGGGCTATATACATTCGCATTCGCATTCGCATGGTTTACGCAGTGGGAGCGTTTACGCCCACCTCTTGAGAAATGCAATTGGGATTTGCCTAGCTCTACAAAAGGAAGTCATTTGTTCCAGTTTAACATTAAGTTGTGTAAGTTGTATGCTTCTTATCAATGTTATGAGGTCTCGGGTAAAATGGTTAGTCCATACCTACGGAAACCATGCTTGACTTTTTGAGTATTTTGCGAGACTTCCTTGCTCATCAAACGAATTAGAGGGGATATTCGAAGAAGGTGGATTTCAGGGGTTTGATTGCCGAAGTATATCCGGTTGGTTACATCCGTCTGACTTACACCTGAGATTACAGTTTAACTCTATTATAAACACCGCAACTATTACTAAGCTTCCTTCTACGCATTTGCTTTTGATGTTCTTAGTTTGAAAGACTTCCTAGCAACTGATAGTAGTACAAGTCATGGGTGATAACGCTCCCCTTCTTGGTGAGTCTATTCCCAGGTATCTAGGCCATGATGTCAGATCTACTCAAGTCTCGGGTCATTCCATGAGCATAACAAGAGTCACGTAAACTTCCAAGTTAGCATTCACATCCACACTCACACTTAAATAAAGAGTTATCATCACAAGCCAACAAGTCAAATAGGTCCAGACCAAGATCCCAGTGATATCCGATATGAGAACCAGACTTACCACCACAATGAGGCGCCGCTGGTGAACTCGAATTTGAAACCGGCCTACCGTCGGACCCAAGCGGCGATATCGCGCCTCATGAACTCGCGCACCAAACACTGGCTCGTTCTGGTCCTCATCGTCCTCGACGTCGCGGGCATCCTGAGCGATATCTTCATCGCGCTGATCACGTGCGAGATCGGCGTAGAGCACGACGCGTGGGTGGCGCCGACGAGGAACGCGCTGACCGTCTTCTCGCTGAGCTTGAGCTGCGTGTTCCTGGTCGAGCTGCTGCTGGAGTTGGTTGCTGGTGGTTGGCGGTGAGTTGGGCCCGTCCGGGGAAACGAAACACAAAAAAAAGAAATTTCTCCTTGTGTATTACCTAGGTCTAATCGCACGTTGTTTTCGCCCAAACAGGTACTTCTCGAGCAAGCTGCACTGCTTCGACGCCTTCGTTATCGTCGTGGGCTTCGCGGTCGACCTGCTCGAGCATAACACGGCGGAGGAGATTGCGTCGCTGATCGTCATGTTGAGGCTCTGGCGCTTTGTTAAGATTGTGGATGAGTTTTCTGTCGAGGCGTCGGAGCAGACGGAGGAGCTGCGCGGGCGTGTTAGGGAGCTGGAGATGCGCAATGCGGCGCTGGAGGCGAGGCTCTCGCTGGTTTAGATGGTTGGTTGGTTGGTTGGTTGGTTGGTTGGTTGGTTGGTTGGTTGGTTGTATGCGGTGGCCTATCGTCTTCAAGTTCGGACGTCGGTGGTGTCAGGGAACTAAGGTTATAGGTGTGCGCCGGGAACTTTATTTTTTTCATTATGAATATTCGAGGGGGGCGAGGGCGCATTGCCGAGGTTCTAGTCTCGTGGCTTCAAAGTTGTCCGCCATCCCATGTTTACCTGTATGAGATACCCCTTGTTACTTGTCAATATCAAGTCTATTATCAAGATGTTAACCTTAATTCTCCCATCTATTCAGCAATGCGTCCGATCACTACATATAGTTCTCTTAAGGTTATTTCAAAAACAGGGCCAACAGCAGCAATGCTGAGATAAACGTAGACAAAAACACTAACTAACTCGAATCTCTCCTAAGTTCGACGATCCTGTCCTTTCGCCGAAGCACCCCCAATACCTTACTTCCCACCACAAAACTTACATGTGAGGCCTTCAACTTAGGCTCTATGCTTAGCTACCTACCTACACACAACCTTATAGTACTCATCCGAACTTTACACGGCGTACGAGGGGCCAGGCTCCCGGAATCGAGATCATTCATATTGAGCCCCTACCCGCCGGGCAGAACTCTGCTCGAGAAGAGACGAGGGGGCCATGCACCGCCGAAGTATCGCCCCTTCGGCCTTCGGACGCGTCAACATGAGACGTCGTGCCCGTCCCTTTGCCGAGATATCTGAGTCCGAAGGAGGGCGACTTATAGTTCCGCCTAGGCGACGCCCCTTTTCTTCCGTTTTCACAAAACTTGCAAGTAATCTGGAGAGTATAGTGTCTAAGTGTCTAAGTGTCTATTGTGAAAACGGCCACTCTTGTCTCGTCTCGTCTTCGCATTCTGTCAGTTGCCGTGAGATAACATAGGTACCTACTCAGTCTTCAACTGTCATCTTCAACACCATGAAAGCTGTTCTATTCCGAGTTGCGTTCCTCGCTGCCGCCGCCGCTTCGGTGGGTGCTCAGACGACAGATAGTTCTTCCTCGTCTACTACTACCACGACGGCTTGCGAGGCTCAGAATATTCTCGATACTTGTCTCTTCACGACCGAGAGCTATGTCAGTCTTTGCGAATCGACCGACTATATGTGCTTGTGCGATAAGTACATCGCCATCATGACGTACGGAGCCCCTTATTATGCCAGATTCTATATAACTACCTAAGTTACAAAAATTGCTGATTCTATCGTGATAGCTGCTTCAACAACTGTCCCAACGACAGCCGGGAAGCAAGCTACCAACAACAGAAGGATCTCTACTGGTGAGTCAAACACATTCCCCTTATCTACTCTTTAAAGTGAGCAGTAAAAAGACGAAGTTCAACCCCTTTCTCACCTTCTCGCAACAATACCTACATATATCCCCCACTACTAACACCCCAAACCACAGTATGAACGCCAGCTTATACGCCACCACCTCCGGCAACCGCACCGTCAGCCGCAGCATCACGTCTACTTCGTCCTCGGAGACGACCACGACCAGCGAGGGCGGTGGTGTAAAGACCGCCGACGTCACTGCTACCGCGAGCTCCCCCGCAGCCACCGGACTCATCCAGAGCGGCAACAGCGCCGGCGAGAGGGTAGTCCACGCCGGGGGCAGACTAGCCGTTCTTGCCGGCGTCGTCGCGTATTTTATGTAAGGCTCGCACTCGCTTGGACTTTCTATATATATACTGCGGGTGGGATCAGCGGCGAGGGATACCTCGTTGCTGCCTTGAGGAGAATATATTACGATGTTCTTCGCTGTGTTAGGATGTTTCGCGGTCGGATGAATAGCATGTATTCGAAGAGCTGTTGAGAAAGGGATATATCAGGGAGTTAATGTACACTGCGATGCCCCCTTTTTGTATTTGGATTTTTACCCTAGATGCCATGATGTATTCGACATACCGTTTCATTTAATTTAGGCGTTATATGGAATACACTATATGTCTTAATGTCTATCAAGACAATCAAATCTCTGTCCTTTGAGAAAGCCTGTCCCTTTTTTATTGAAGGTACTTATGAAATAAGATTGTGACGAGGTGCGCTATTTCAATGTAATTGACTGTCTAGAGTGCTGGCTATAACTTACTGGGTCATGAGACTATATCCGTGCTATCACCCTCATCATAGCTCCTATAGACAAATCACCAACTAGATAGATAGTCCACTCCAATCTCACCACACAGCTCCCTCCCCATCCCCTGATAACGACCTCAACCCATCCTCGATTTCACCAAAGACCTCAACCCCCTTCCTCCCAAGCGCAGTCCCTACACCGACAACCGCCGCCCCTACATCTCTCATCCGCCTATACCCCGCCGCGTCCTCAACACCACCGACCCCTATTATCTGCACATGCGACGTCTCCGGAAACGCATCAAACATCCGTCGGAGCGTCGCCACGTTACCTAACGCCAGGGGATGTACTGGGTACAACGAGGAATTAGCATCATCACAGTCATATATCTCCTCAGTAGGTTAGACAACTCCTCAATGAGCTCAACCAGGAATCTTCTGACAGAGGAAACGCTCTCCTTGTAAAAGGGAAAGGGAAAGGGTAAAATAGAACCACAACAAAGAAAAAAAAGACGTCTTACAAGGCGCCCCCGCCATCCCCCCTATCCCACCCATCTCACCCCCCAACGCCGGCCCATTCCCCCCATCAAGCAGCAGACACGAACCCAGCGTATTCGTCGCCGCAACAAAGCTCGCCGGGCAAGGCCCCCCCGGACCAAGTAACTCTCCCCTGAGCGCGTCTACCAACATATCGAACTGACCAGCGTGCGTATACGGCGGAGTCTTGACGCCCCACGGCACCGGCTCTCTGCATCTCGATCCTTCTTCCGTCGCAGTCCGCGCCACGGCATGCAGATACGATATCAACCCCTCGGCGGAGTACGCCGGCGGTGGTGCGCCGGGGATATTCGGACAGCTGAGATTAATCTCCATCGCAAGCGGCGCGCCGATTTTCGCCCCCAGCGCCACGATCCGCTTGTAGCACTCCGCGACGTCTTCAGGCGTCCCGGTAACCGACACGATGAACAATTTCTCTATCGCTTTCCCCTTCTCCCTCCCCTTCTCCTTCTCCTTTTCCCTATTCCTATTCCCCGTTACTATCGCCTCAATGAACCCCAAATACTCATCCAGCGGCACGGGGCTATACCCCATATTATTCAAGCTAGCGTTCGCACTTACACCTACACCTACACCTACACCTACACCCACGCTCTTATCCCCAGTCGATTCACTAGGCACAGTGCCAGAGCCGGAAGTAGTACCAACAGCATATATCCCCGCATCAAAAAACGCATACCGATGCCTCGCCGAATCATGCGCAAACCCGCGCAGCAGCGCCGTCCGAGTCGTCACGGCGCCTGTAGACGGACAATCGAACAAAGCCCGTAGGTCCTCTTGCGTCGTCGCCCACGGGTTTGCCGAGTTGAGTAGGGGTGGGTTGATGTGGATAGGGGGTGGTAAACAAGTCTTCATCATTTTGGATTCGGCCCTGGCCATGGAGAACGAGTATAGGTAGCTACCGGACGGTTGCGCTGGTGTTTAGTTTAGACTACGTAGTATTTATTCACAGTATTCTGGGTATATGTATGTAGGTGCTTATATTCATAATTACATGTAAGATAGATGTTAAAACTCAAGATCGAGATGAGAATCTAATGATAGATAATGATAGCGGGGTCACAATTCATAATAGATAAGAGTAACTTCACAGTTCTTATCGTATCTCTTCCTCTTCCCGTGTCACCACCTGTATTAGGATGGCAAGGTTTAAGCCAACTCAGGTGCTCAACGCCTCGTTCAAGTAATAGAATCACTACCGCGTTCAAATACGTCTTGCTACTTATTACGACATAGCTTCAAGAGTTATATTGAGTATAGTAGAGAATTCCGTCGCTTCGACTTCTCCCATACCCCCCATGTCTACCGGCCATAGCCGATATCGCCTCGCTCTTTACCTATAGTAAGAAAGTGAGTCCCGTTCTAATGCAGAACGCAGCAACACTTTAAGAAAACAATCCCGCATACGAATAGCCCATTGCTGCCAAACCTACCTAGTTATAGAATAATCAAAAAGCATACAGTTTCATTGAAATCGACAGCAAACTGTTAGCCGCCGCGACGGCCGCCAGTGCTCATCAATGTGATCTTCTGTTTCTTCTTCTTCTTGCTGTTCGAACCACTATTAGGTCCGTTGCTCGGTCCGGCATGCGTAGGTTCGATGCTTAGAGCTTCCATCTGCATTGCTATTTCAGCAGCATCGAGAAATTGATCGTCTTTTAACCAGCCGTCATTAACATCGCGCTCGCGCTCGGGCACGGGTCCCAATTGGGGCGAGGCGGGAATCGCTCGGGTTCCCCATACCGTCTTCGATGTTGACGGACTAGTCGACATGTCTGCGAGCTGGCTGAACCCCGGTCGGGGGTTTGGCGGGGACGTACCTTCAACGGCACCAAGCGGCTGGAAGTCTTCCGAGTTCATAGTAGGAGTCGGCTCGAACTTGTCCTGGTTGGTTTGATCAAAGTGTCGCCTGGCGCTACGTCCGATAGCAGAGGCTTCTAAGCGTTCTGCCTGTAATCTTTCGCGCTCCTCCTGAGCCGCCTTGTCCTGATGTGACTTACGTCGACGCTCTAGGTCGTCCGAAAACGTCTCCAGAACGTCCGTAGGAACTATATCCGTCCAATCACACTCCAGGAAACTTACAACGCAGCCGTGAGGAAGATGTCCCAGGTACCTGACCCGCTTTCTTAGAGCGTCATCCACCACGTGGCCGGTAGTTATATGATCGACACGCGGGAGTAGTGTGGAGGGGAAGTTTGAGAAATCCCCGAACTTGGTTTTAAAAATTCGAATATCGAGAGGTGACAAATATAGGTGTGGAGGCGCTGTGTAGAAATAAAACTTCTGACTGGCTGGTTGCTTTGCTTTCAAAGTATTGCCTGGCTGTAATAACTCTTCGCTCGGCTCATCGCGAATCTTGTCCACGGCTGTGTTGATGGCTTTAACAGCTCGTTGCGTCCAACCTCCGTCTTCTTGACCAAATTGCATCTCGTCCGCTAGTGCCTGATCCCGTAAATCAGTCATCTCCCTTTCATACTGCCCTACTACGTAGTCGTTCGTCCCTTTCATCACTCTGGCGTAATCCATAACGTTTGCCGCAAAATGCCATGGGATATCCTCCCCCAAATTGACGACATCCTGGCCTCCCTCGTTTGGCAAGGCCAAAGTAGAGCCCGAGTCTCGTACCATTAATCTCAGTACGACATCTTCCCCTGGTCTCGGCAAAGGGTTTTCCTGGCCGGCATAGAAACGCACTGGCTTGACTTCGGAAAGCCGGAACGAGTCCTCACATATAGGACATTTCTTCCATCTCGCTTCTTTCCGGGGGCTCGGCTCGTCGTCGTTGGTTGAATTCATGAATCGCAATAGGCACGGCAAGCAGAATATGTGGCCGCAGTGCGCCATGCGAGGGGCTACGGGATCCGACAGGCAGATTGGACATGCTGTGGTTTGGGATTCGGCGGAAGCTATGATTTGTAATACGTCGGACCACTCGAGATACTTGTCGGCATCCGCGGCCTGGGAAGAGTAGTCCCCAGTGGGTGAAACTACAAACCGATAATTGGCATGAACAAACCTGAAGACATTTGTAAGTATAACCCAAACCCACTAATGACTCGCGGGGTGAAATCAACGCACCTTGCCTTATCAACGACATGGTAGCCAGAACCGGGGCCCCAGGTAGCATGTCTACGACTCGATCTAGGATATTCGTGATGATTACGCGTTGGGGCGGAGTAGTTTAGGAGATGGGTGATGGAAGTTTGGCCTCGACGGCTCGAAGTGTTTCTGACGGCCCTCTATCTCGATGGGTTAGCTACCTATAACTACATAGTACTATACATTGTATATTAGGTATACAATCAGTTCGCGGTGTCTACTTACGAGCTCTGCCATGGCATCATCCTCATTCAGCGGCCTTCGCTGATTCCGGTGCTGTTTCCTCGACCCTTGTCCCTTCCTCGGAGCTGAATTCGGGAACGACGGGCTCGACAGACCGGAACGGCGAGAATTGGTTTCGAAGCTGGGCGCGGGAACCGAGATAGGTTGGGAGTTTGGAGTATAGGGCGTCGGAGAAGAGAGGGATTTGCCTCCCAGGTTTGACTGGCCAGAGCTCATGGTGTTGATAGCTGTTGAGGCCAAGCTCGTCCTATCGAGGATGGCAAACACGGCGCAAAGAGCTGAAGATTAACGTCTGGCGACGTCATGCAAAGACTACTACTAATTCCGCTAGAAGAACAAAAGAAAAAGGAAATAAATTATCAATAAATTTAAGATAGAGAGCTTGGTTTAGTGACGAGGATCTAAAGATTCTCTCATCAATCAAGATAAGAGTTGTTTCGATTGGTAGTTGGTCGGCAATTCGCAATTCGAGGGGTCCAGACTGGACGGACCCCGGAGGTTTGAGAAGGAAAAGAGTGGAAGGAGTCACCGGCGGGGCGAAATCCTTAGTGACGATTCGATGTCTTTCAACGTGGGACGACGCTGCCGAAACCCGCCACCTGCCTGTGCAGTTAGCGCTACTTTATAGTCCACCATACATTAACTATATTATATAATCCTTGTATCTTTCCAAGTTGCGCATATAAAGATTGTTATATATTTGTTACCAGAACAACGATTAAACAATCGCTTTCTGTAAACCCCCTCTATGCATAGTACTAAATCTCACGGACAGTAAGTAACGTGTACATTTTTGAGATCCTAATTAATTCTATTACCAACATATATGCCAGAGATATGCAACCAATCTCTCACTTACAATCTGCACATGTATATCACCACTTGTCGTCCTAACACTTGAGATTAGGTAAATGCCTCTTAAAAAAGGTACATAATTGCTTAGAACTACCTAACCTAACCATTCATAGCGGGATTTAAAGGCGACAATACGTAGTACATAACTCTCAGTCCAAAACAGAACAGTAGAGTAAAACCTCCTTTCCCGAAATCACAAACCATATGTGCGCGAAGAAAAAGTTTTAGCCGGCTCCGTAAGATACTTGTTTATTATGCCGCTTTTTCTACGTATCCCAACTACCTCCAGTCTGTATCCTATCTGATTGTCCAACCAACCATATAATCCAGTCTCTTTCCTGACTGGACGTTAATGCACAACTGCCACCAATCAGACTTCCATCACTGCATCTCGCGACCCTGGATTTTCATCAACCCCTCAACAGCCTAAACTTGACTTGATCATGTTGGAAAGCAAAACTGCATCAATCGTGAAGCAACGCAGGACGAGAAAGACAAGACGGAACGCCGTCAAGTTCGACATGGCTCATCGGAACGTAATAAGAGCTACCAGCAAGAAAAATTGAGTTGAATAAAAAAGGAGGCCAACCACCCCGCACCATCCAAAACAGCACAAGGCCCTTTCATAAACCGGGAGAGTAACGTATTATCTAGGTAAACGGTTGAGGAATGCTGAGTGGGCGAGTTTAATGTACAAGGAAGTGCCTGACAGTGACTATTGCCCTATCGGCACCTGTCGTAGCGAGTCGACGCAAGATGGGGAATCATAAGCTTCAAATGAAATGAAGAGGTTGACAATAGTGTCGAAATAATAATCAAAGCAAAGAACAAACCATTAGCGTTTATTTGCCAGACAGCTTGCTTTTAACCTTGCCGAAGATGGAGCTGAGCCTGCTCTTCTTTTTCTTCTCAGTTGCAGCGCCGTTAGCTGGCTTGGCGCTACTGGTAGGGCTGGTCACCTCAGTCGGCTGAGCCGTAGTTTCGGGAACAGCTAGGGTAGCCGGGGCGGTGGGCTCAGTGTTGGTTGGCACTCGCTTGATTTCAACAGGCTTTACAGTTTCCTGGTGGCCGTTGGCACCGTTGGCACCGTTGGCGATAGCTGATTCCGAAGCTGGTGGTATTCTAATCTCTGAAGAGTTGCCGGCAGCTTCTGCGTCAACGGCTTTGACCTCCTTTAACAACTCGGCTTCGACGGCCTTCTTGTCCTCGACTGCTTCCGTGTTTGCAGCGGCTTCCGGGTCTTTTCCAGCTTCGATAATAGATTCCTTGACCTCAGCAGGCACCTCAGGGGAGACTTCCTCGCGGGTCTCCTCCTTCTTCGTGGTTCCAATGGCATTTTGAACAGACTCTGGAAGTTGTTCCTTGGCCGAGTCGGGTAGATTCGCGGCTGCTTCGATAGCAGAGGTTTGAGCTACTGTAGCCTTCTCAACAGCGATGTCCTTGGCAGCAACAGCACCAACGACTGCAGCGGCGCCAACAGCAGTAGCCGCAGCCGCAACAGATGCAGCGGCCTCGCCGGGAGTAACGACGTCCTCCGTCTTCTCAGTGCCTTTGCCAGCAGTACCTTCAGACGTAGTGGGCGCTTCCTTCACCTTGTCCAGAAGCTCGCTCTCGACCTCAGCTTTCTCCTTGACCTCCTCTGCGATGCCACTGGCTCCGGGACCAACGTGTGCTTTCTCCTGGCTCTCTTTTACTGCCTCAGGAACCTTTGGCTCGAGGGGTACGCTCCCCGCCAAAACAGCAGTTGTAGACAACGGTGCGGCAGAGTTCAGGGTAAGGGGCAAGCCACCTTCGAGAATTAGACACTGGATTCAAATTGGGACTGAAGCAATAGTGAAGCTTACCTGGAATGGTGTCGCTCTTCTCGTACGACTCGGGATCGAGCTTAACTTGGTCGGTAGTGCCATTGGCAGTGAGACCCTGGGGGATCTTCTCGCCCGGAGCAAGCTTGATAGGGTTAACGGCGCCGGCAGCAGCCGGCAGGGGGTTTACTCCAAAATCGCCGGCCCCGTCGAGTCCCGCAGAGGGGGTCTCGGGGAAAGTGCCTGGCACCTCCTCATTCTTCTTCTCCAGTGGCACAGCTGCGGCCAAAGCAGCGGTTGTAGAGTCCGGCGTAACAGTGTTCATGATGGCAGCGGTTGCAGGCGCTTCTTTAACAATACGATCAGGGGTTAGGATATTGTTCTCGTTACCGCTCTCGTCAATTTCTTTCGGTGCGGTGTGGTCGGTGACCCAGTTGCCGTCGACGACAAACTGTAACGCAAGGTTAAATGGTCAGCTCAGAGTCAAGATGTATAGGTAAAATTAGAGGTTAAGTGGCGCCTCGTGGTATATTTCGGTGGCGTAATACTGTGAGGAAAAAAAGAGAAGATGGAAGAAATTAAGAACAAAGAGAATTTGCGCATGAAGTTGGGGACAGCTCAACAATGACAATTCTACCTAATGCAAGGTGCCGCAGGACCCGAAGTACAGGCAGCTGTAAACAACCTTAGTCTGCCTTAGGTAGCTAAGAGTCCTACAGCATCTGCGTCAGGCGTCAGGCGTCAGGCGTCAGGGACAAGGCTCCCTTCTCAGGGAAACAACCGGATAGGGCGACTTCTTTCAAGGATGACGCTGTTGGGGTTCCACAATGCAAGTCGCCTATGCCTGCCGTGCGCTTGCAAGTTTTCTAAGCACCTGGGCACTTAATAAATGACGTCTAGATTTTCAGGCTAGGGCCAAATAAATAGTGTCACAAGACCTTCGAAATTTAACAATAGCGAAGGCGGCCGTAACGAAAGCTTGTAAATGCTTGTCGTGCTGTATCCATCAATTGCCCATGGCAGCATAGCGGCAGCATAGCGGCAGCATAGCAGCAGCACTATAGCCAGATCCGTGGTTGGAATAGATCACTCCAATACAATTGACCTATCAGAGTCGAGCCCGCCTTATTTTGTCGCATTCGTAGTCGCCTTGCGTCATACGTGGTTCACGGAGTAAATGTTTTGCATCGGCCGCACACGCACGAGGGCGGGGAGGGGGAGGGATCCAGCGGATTCAAACTCCAATAGCCAATACATAACAATGCATCGAGCCAGCATGAGCGGAGCTGACCAGCCAGACTAATCAAATACGCTCCGGGAGGGATTGAATGTTATATCTTTAGCTCATAGAATGCGCGTAGATATTTGGCATTATATTATCCCATGCCGCAAGCATTTAATCGTTGCGCAAAGCCGACCACTCATCTTGCGACCTAGAGAACAACCTTGTGCTCTTCCGATCGACGCGGGAATGACACCCAAGTAAGGAATATAAATGAAGGGAAAAAGAAGCATGGGTAGATTAAACAATTGAAAATAACTAGTGTCGGACGGGATGAGATGCGACGAACCTTATAATATATCTTAGCTGATGCATCTTTAAGTGCCACCGCCTTCTCGAAGTGCCCGCCAACTTTTTCCAGCTTCTCTGTCTTCTTCCAATCGTCGAACGTGCCGGTCACGTAGACCTCGGAGGCAGGATGCTCCCTATCGCATCAGAAAAGAAACGATATCAGCCGAGTTCTACATCAGTTTTCATGGGGGATGCGATTGTTGGGATGTTGGGAAAAGCTGAAAGAAACAGAACGGTGAAGAGCTCGGGTCGCCAGCATGTGGTCGCCAGCAGTTTATGGTGGATATACAGACGTGGGTCGAGACGAAGGAGAGGTGTCTCGTCGTCGCTTGCGCTTACTTACCATTTGAACAGAAAGGTTCCCATTGTCGATGACCTGCCGATAAACCTATAGGGATAAGCGATACGGGGGATGTCGATGGAAATAATTCAATAAATAGTTAGGAGAAAGATTGAAGAGGTAATTTATCTAAGGCTGCCTTGAAGATGATGGAAGAGAAAAGGCGTGGAACGAGAGCTTCTTACTCATGTCTCGAGCTTTAGCACCGACCCGCAGCAAATGTAAGTAATAATTAGTCGTCTAGCCTAATAAAGTCAGATAAAAGTCTAATCTATCGATTTTGCTAGGGATTTATTAAGGATTGCCAGGTCCTAGTACCCGTACCCGTATATAGTAGCAACCATAAGCTGTCATAGTGAGACTAGCTCCACCTTTTTAAACTTGCTAGCTACTGGATACATACATATTGCGTTATCATCGCATCAATATCGAGACGAACTGCCAATGAATCTCAATGACAATATCTTGAAGGAATCATAATTTCAATTGCGCCTTATCTTACACCTCAACTTCTCCTATTGCACCCGCATTTTTACAACAATAATAAAAACATAAGATATACATAGTTAAAAGGAGTTCAAGCCATTCCAAGGATCGGATTGCCGCTTAAACATCCGGAATTAGATACCTGCCAGCGCCCGTAGTGTAGAATCATCTACGCATTTCGATGCGTTTGTACATTAACATTGGTACCTTAGGTATTCATTCATCCGTCCGATCACATGCAAGCGAAGGTTTTACCCAGCCCCTCGAATAACATGGGGACTCCAATAACATCAGTGCTTACCTCCGAGTAAACCGAGCCAAGACTTGCAATCTAGATACACGAACAAACCGATGCAATATGTGCTTATCCTTATAATTAATTATGAACGACTTTATCAAGTTTGTAATTTCTCAGTACATAGTACATTTCATAACGGGTTTAAAAATAAAATCCATAACATTTTGTAGTGTATTCTCTATTGTCATATCCACCACAAACCCAACACGCACATCCCACATCTATCTAGGAATACATTCGTTATCAATCGTAATTCGTCCTCGAGCGGTACGGCATGTAGGCAGTTCTTGCAAGAAAAAAACCATCCAACCCCGTAGAGAAATCGAAAATGGTTCAATCCAACCTCCTCCGCCAACGCCTCCAAGGTGCAGTGCAGTGCAAGTAGAAGACAAAGAAACCCATGCAATCAATATGTTCCTCGACTCCCAACTACCCCCCCGGTATTTTTTATCTTCCCTTGCAATGCGTGTGTTTCTAATGGTACAAGTGTATCTCTGTAGCTTTCCCTCGATGATCTATAATGTACATAACAAGGCACGCGTAATTCGAGAGAAAACGTCAGAGCAAAAAGACAGAAAGACAGACAGATAGGGAATAGAAGAAAAATATAAAAAATTTGAAGAGGAAAAAAATAGTCCGACCAGAGAATCGAATAGGGGAAGAAGAAGAAGAAGAAAAATAGAAGAGAATATATAGAAATACAAGAGAAAGGGAAAAAGAACAGGAAGAAGAAGTAGAAGAAAAGGGGAATAAGAAATAATACAACCGCCATTCATTCCCATCTATTTTATATCCCTAAGCCTCCTCGTCTCCTGTGTATAGTTGATTCGTTTTTTTTCTTTTTTGTATCGTTTGTTGGTATTTCCCCTCCGATCCGATCCTCAGAACCACTTATACCCAGCGCGTTCCTCGATCTTCTTCAGCGTGCCCACGGCATCAACCAGCAAGCGGCTCTTAGCGCCAACGGCCTCGTCCTCGAGCCTGCGTCGGACCATACTAATAACACCTATCGACTCGCGCCGGCTGCGCGCCCCGAGCGCCGAGTCCCCAGCGGCCACCGTCTTCAGCCAGCGCATGGCTTCGCGCTCTCCGGCATTAGCATTATCGTGGTCGTGGTGCGGAGACGTGCAGTCCGATCCGGAGCCAGAGTAGGCATTCCGGCCTATCGAGCGGTGTCCGAGCGCCCAGCAGATTAGCGCGCACGCGTACACCGCCCAGTAGTCCGAGATGTCCAGCGTGTTCCAGTTCTTATTGAAGTCTCCTTGTTCTTCCGGGTCTGTGTTTAGTGTATTATGATTACGAGACTCGCTGCCGTCGAGGAAAGCTAGGAGAGCCTTGGCGGCAAATCCGGCGGCAGCGCTGGCGTGAGGGCTACCGCACCAGAGTTGCAGGCGCTTCTTGTGCTGTTGGAAGACCTGGGGAGACGCTACCTTTCTCGAGAAGAGCCAGGTGTCGCCGCTAACTGCGAGCAGGTCATGCAGAGGCGTATAGTGCAACGCTAGATAAGTATTTCCAACAGCAGATCCAGGGAAAAGTCTGCTGATTCGCTCGGTGTAAGTTAGGTCTACTTCTACCGAAAGGTCCAGTATGGAGGGGTTAGATCGTTTAGGCAGGCGGAGAACCTCCGAGGTTAGAAATACGGCACGGTCGAGGTATCGAGCGTTCATCACCTGTTCCGCGGTGAGGGTCTCGCCGGTATGACTTAGAGGTCCCGCGTCGGCTGGTTTCGTGTCGAGGAGGGCCTCCCATGCTTCCGGCGATCGCGCGGCCCAGAGATCTTCGGTGGGTCGAATTAGGGGGATAGGGCGTGTCGACATAGGAAATTGCTGTTGTATTACATGTTGTTGATAGTACACGGATGCGTGGGCATCCAAAACAAAGCAAGCGGCAAAGAGTCGGCGTCGTGACTCATTATCGATCCATTCATTCCATCGTTCGTTTCGCGTTGAGATAGAGAAAAGGAAATTGTCCGGTATTTGGTGGTTGGCCATCTGTGAGGAAGAAAATGTTGAGTATGGATACCATTGGCCACTAGGAGAAGACAGAACAAAACTAAAGAGATGACCCTGAAGAGCAGAGTGTATGAGAGAACCAACAAGAGTAGAAGGAGAAGAAGGAGAAGAAGATTGGGAACTCACCCGAGAGTAAAGCGACTGGAAGGACTCCGAGGGGTGTCGAAGGACACTCCGTCCACGGAACCGCGCGTAAAACTCGCAAAGAATGATCGTCTGCATGATTTGGAGGTTCCACTTCGTACACTGCATCTGCTGGTTTAGCGATTACTTCTTCATATATATATCTAAGCGGCTCAACTTACAGTCTTGACCTCCTTCCAGGCAAATTCATGCAACTCGTTTGCTCTTATACGATCATCCTTACCTTGGAGATACTGCGCGCCCACGGCAGCCATGGCACAACGCAGGACCTCGTCGGCAGCTGTTTTGACGCTTTTGCGGTGAACCACCGGAAAGAGTGTGTCGAAGCTCTTCCAGTACGCTTGTAGGTACTTCGGGATGGCGTTCCGGACGTGCGGCGGCAGGGTGTTCGCGGTTAGAAAGGCTGCCCCCTGGAGTGTTCCCAGGAGCATCGTCGAGCCCTTCTGGCGAGCTCCTGCCGACGCTGCGTCGGGAATTGATGGGGCTGCAAGGGTGACTAAATTTTCATTCGATTGAGCGGACAGTGAGATAGTCGGTGGGGTCGGACTACGAACTGAAGAATAGGGGTGATATTGCTGATCGACGAAGGATTGTTCGTCTGAAAACGGGACCGGTAGGTTCAACGCTTGATCGATATTCGGTGCTGTTGAAGAAAAGGCCGTTCCAAAGAAAGCGGCCGTGGTGGAGACCTCGAGCCCACCGCCTGGACTCTGCATGTTATGAGAGTAGAGAGGCCAGTCTGACGTTGGCGATTCGTACCCCTGAGTGTTCATATTATGTCTCCTGTGACCGATCTCCGAAGGAGTAGAGTAAGTACTTTCCGAAGCGGAAGATGGCCAAGGCGAACCATCGTGACCAGCATGAACAAGACCTGGAGGAATACTGTTGTCAGGTATTGTCAAGCTAGGCAAGGTCTGGGGTAAGATCGCAGTGTCCATGAACATGGAAGGGAAGGGAGAAGATGTACGAGGTTGGTATTCTAGCCCAAAGAAGTGGTCAGTACCTGTGACCGGAGAGCCCCCAATGCTTGGGGGTGGGTTGATCAGCCCAGACAGCACATAACTCTGGCCGGGATTGGGCGAATTTTGATAGCTATCACCGCGGCCGGGATGATGTGACGGGGACATCGAGGTCCCTCCACTGGTACTACCTTGGCCACCCATCTGATATTGCATACCACCGGGATAAGAGGTGCCGGAAGAATTGTCGGACGGACCAGGCATTCCCGAGCGAGAACCAGAGTCCCTGCCCATGGATGAGTGACTATGGGTCATATAACTTAGCCCAGAGCTTGGATCATCCAGGGTGCCGGCAGATGGCGGCCGGCTCATACCTCCCGACGATGCCTTATCGTCATGGTCACTAGAATCAAGTTAGTCTTTTTACTGGCGCTATACCTTCTATCTAACCGCCCACTTACTGTCTCTGGGCGTGACGAGCGAGTAAGTCGGCTCTGTGAAATGCCTTCTCACAACCGGGAAATGTACATGGAAATCCGGGCGTCCTGTGGCTCAGTTGGTGGCGTCTGCAAGTCTGCGTTTAGTGATGCGTATCCCAACGATATCCGTCACCGAAATTACTTACCTAAGGTGTTCCGCCCTCGTAAATGTCTAATTTGTCATCAGATCAGCCTATCCAGCCTCGTGCGTAATTCTGAAAAATTCTGAAAAATTCTGAAAAATTCTGCTCACCTTGGGCGGTTTACATATCTCGCAAGTATGAACCGGAACGCCTTTCTTCGCTCTGCTGACACGGCCGGTGATGGGAGTCAACTTCACGGGCATGCTCCCGTCTCCCGGCATGTTACCCATTGGTCTCGTAGGCATAGAAGGCGTCATGCTTCCTCCTCCAGATGACGAGCCTTGGGCGTGACCTCCGTACGCGGTGGGATCCATTGGTTCTGAACTCGCAGTGCTCTGCCTGCTCATAAGCGCCGGCCTTGCTGATGATGATGTCGATGGCGAGGAAGCGGTAGCTGTTGATTTAGATGAGCGTCCTGTAGGACCACGCCGTCTCGTTGGGGCTGAAGCTAGTCTATCGTCTTGATCTCTGGGCTTCTCATGACTCGACGTTGCCGCACGGGAAG